ATTTTTAGTTTTTATTTATTTTCTCTTATGTAATTTTTATTTTATTTTTTGAAGATGTATATACACATAGGTAGATATGCATGTTGTTTTTGGTGTTTAGAGACAAATAGATCAAAATATTCGGTCAACCGGTTAATTAGTTATAATTAGTTGAAGATGGGGTAGGATTGAATAAGCTTATGCTTCTTCCTACTCCTTTTCGGACATGTATAAGTTAAAAAAAAAATGCTGATGCTGGGTTATATGGCTTCAGCCTCCGCTGTGCTACAGCTGGGTCTTATGCACATGCGCCCCCTTCAACTCTGGTTAAAGAGCCGCGTATCCCACCGCGAGTGGACGACGGGCCGCCAGATGATCAAGATTACTCAGACATGTATCACTGCACTGCAGCCATGGTCAGTAATCGAGTGGTTTCAGAGGGGCGTTACCATGGGGACTTTTTCTCGCCGGAAAGTCATCTCGACAGACGCATCCAACTCGGGTTGGGGTGCGGTTTGCGAGGGCTCACCGGCCGCCGGCCAGTGGTCGAGCCACAAGAGTTTCCTACACATAAACTGTCTGGAAATGATCGCGGTCGAGAACGCGCTGCGGTTTTTCCTCCCGCGCATACACGGTCACCACGTCCTGATTCGCTCCGACAATATGGCCGTGGTATCATACATCAACCGTCAGGGCGGCGTCAGATCCAAGAATCTCTTTCACCTGACACGCTGCATCCTATTGTGGTCCCAGAGTCACCTGCTCTCGCTCAGAGCGACGCACGTACCGGGCCACCTGAACGACGGCCCAGACATGCTGTCCAGGAACCTGGTCTCCCCCGGAGAATGGTCCCTGCACACTCAAACAGTCCAAACACTGTGGCGCCTATTCGGCAGAGCGGAGATAGATCTTTTCGCGTCAGAAGAGAACGCTCACTGCCCAATATTCTTTTCAAAGAGCGAGGACGCGCTAGCCCAGGATTGGCCCCGCCGCCCGCTCTATGCTTTTCTCCTGGTCTCTCTGCTACCGCAGGTCATTCAGAGAATCAGGGACTCACGCCACTCGGTGCTCCTCATAGCCCCGCGCTGGGAGAATCAGATTTGGTTCCCGGAGCTAACGCGGCTGTCACAGACAGCCCCGTGGCCCATTCCAATCAGAGCAGATCTCCTCACTCAAGCCCGCGGCTCGATCTGGCATCCCCATCCACAGCGCTGGGCACTTCATGCATGGGTGACCAACGACTAGGCGTCGAATTGCCAGAAGGGGTTCTGAACACGATCAAACACGCCAGAGCGGATTCTACCAGAAAGCTCTATGCTGCAAAATGGTCTGTGTTCTCCAAATGGTGCACCGACAAAAATTTGGACCCACGGACGTGCGAGGTTTCGTCTTTGCTAGTGTTCCTTCAGGAGATGCTGGATAAGGGCAGGTCCCCATCCACTCTTAAGGTTTACGTGGCAGCCGTCGCGGTGTTCGTTGAACCCCGGCGTACCCAGTCTCTGGGCAAAGACGAGCTAATCATCCGCTTCCTTAGGGGAGCCAGAAGGATGAACCCCCCTCGCCCCCCTACGGTGCCGGTCTGGGATCTTTCTATAGTTCTAGAAGCTCTGAAAGCCCCACCGTTTGAACCACTTGAGTCCGTGGAGCTTAAATACCTCTCGTTAAAAACCGTTCTTCTGACGGCACTCGCCTCAGTAAAACGTGTGGGGGACATTCACACGCTGTCTTCGAGCGCCGCGTGCCTAGAGTTTGGACCGAATGACTCCATAGTCATTCTAAAACCTAGACACGGTTATGTTCCAAAAGCGATTGGTACCCCTTTCAGGGCGCAAGTGATCTCTCTATCGGCGCTGCCTGCATCCGATAGCGAACGTGACGCTGACCGCCTCTGCCCGGTTCGGGCTCTCAGAGTGTACACTACACGCGTTGCCGCGTTCAGACGCTCGGAGCAGCTGTTTGTGTCGTTCGGTGGCCGCACCAAGGGACTAGCCGCCTCGAAACAGACCCTATCCAGGTGGATAGTAGACGCGATTGCCTCTGCTTATGCCGCTAAAGACCTGCCTTGCCCTCTGGGCATCAGGGCTCATTCCACCAGAGGCATGGCCTCATCGTGGGCATGGTCCTGCGGGATTTCCATTCACGACATTTGTGTGGCTGCGGGATGGGCCTCCCCCTCCACTTTTGTCAGATTTTATAACTTGGAAGTTCCAGCCTTACAGGCTAAAATTCTGGCGGTCTAGTACTCATAGCTCTCCTATAGAAGCCGCACTATCGGGAGTTCCATCACAACCGGCTCACCCCTTGTGTTCCCCTATGTGCTTATGCATTAGCCTACACATCACGGCCCGCTTCGCCGGCCGCCTTTGGGCGTTTTGCACTAGATGATAACGGCCGCTATGCTGGCCGCCTTATTATCTTCATCCACTTAAAGATTCCCCCGGTGTTTCCCCCTGGGATGCTTAGTGGTTACTTAGCGCGCGCGGCGTTGACCAGGTGTTCCCGTAGCGTAAGCTAGCTTACGCAATACGAGAGAACCTCTCGTAAGAGAACGAATCGGTTACCTAACGTAACCTCGGTTCTCTCTAGATGAGGGAACGAGTATTGCGTTCCCGGCCGTGCTTGCGCCACTAGCGTTTCGCTTCATGCTACAGAATCAACGAACGAGCTGGGAGAGCGACCTTTATACACTGTAGCCACGCCCCTTTTGGCGGGCTGTGACGCAGTGAGCGAGCGCCGTCCGCTCATTGGCCGCGGACTCAGCGCCGCTCTCCCATAGGTTCGTGCATTCTCTCTGAGCGAACCAATGAGCCGCTAGCTAGCCCGCTCATGGTCTGCCTCAGAAGAGACTGCGTTGACAATGATTACAAAATTATGGAATAATTTTTTGGCTTCAACTTCTCAGCAAAGATGAATCTTTCCCTTAGCGTAAGCTAGCTTACGCAATACTCGTTCCCTCATCTAGAGAGAACCGAGGTTACGTTAGGTAACCGATTCGTTTTAGCAGATGGGCAGGAATATGCACTGTTTAGTGATATTATGAGTCTGTCACTGAGCTGTCATCAGCAAGATCTTAACTTCTTAAGCTTTAAAACGATCCTAATGGGCTGTTGCGACTGTTTATCAGGTGTCATGTTGTTGTCGACAAGGATGGATTCAAAGATGGTATGCTCACTGAACGTGAAGCCCGCTTACGCCCGTACATGAGCGGAAGCCAAACTGCACAGTTTCACCCAGGTCATGCTGACAGGAACATTAGCTCCAATGCCGTAGTTCTAGCTTTTTGGATCACAGTAGGTGTGCTTCATATTTTTAACCACTAGGTGACAGAAAAGCTTAGAGAAATGAATCCAAATTCAGTAGACCTACATTTGTAAAGCTTCAAAGGTTGTGAGATTGTAAAGCTGCACTTGGGGTAGGGTTTAAAATCATATACTTAAAACTAAAATCTACTAAAACAAAATGTTCTTTGGTCAGACTAGCTTTGCAATACCTCATGCTCACAGATCTGTGATCATTTGAGTTTTGACTTGTAGACGGAAGTTTATAAAAACACAGGATCTCATTCATAAGTAACGTAAACAGCCTCATGACCTCTAAACCCATTTTAAACAAGTCCTCTCTTTTCTGAATCTTTCGGTTTAAAACGGATGTCTTTCTTCCTCCTTCTATCTTTGTTAGTCATCTCCTCAATACACCAAGAATCAAAGTAGGCCTCAGTATTAATTTTAACGACCTTTAAATAGCATCAAACCTCAAAGGACTGATTAAGGGACTAGGTCATTATGTTCCTTTCCCTAAATTATTGCATTTTGGCATCCCAGCTTTTACCACATCCAGAAAATGTTTCATGTAGTTCTGGCCTCAGAGAGCAGTGTGTTTTGTGAGCCTCAGCTACGGTGGTCACTGTTTAAATCTGTCAGGATGGGTCTGATGTTTATACCTCAGTGTCAGCAGTCGTAACTTAAGCAACCGACAAGCAAGTATAGTTTCATTGTTGGACTGTAGGCTATGTTAAATTGTTTGGAAATGAAAAACAATGCTCTCTTTCTTGTTTTCACAAGAATTCAGTTGTTGACATTGAGACCCCTGCCTCCTCTTCTCTTCTCTAGCTTTATGAGATTTTGCGAAGCTTGGCTGAAAATGAGCACTAAAGTTAAATCATCAGAGTGATTCACGGATGAATCTCACAAAGAAATGTCTGGGTCAAAATAGAAAAGAAAAAATAGAAAAAATAAATTATATTTTGTATAAATAAAATCATTCTATACGTACTCAATTATGCCATCATTTTACTTTCATTCACTCAAATGAATAAGTGACTTTTATAATTGTATTTTTTCTTTTGTAACTATTTCTTTCGATTTTGGGGTGAAATATGACCCAGACTTGTGCTCTCAATTTTTATGAGATACACTTCTACATCCCAGTGTCCTAAATATTCTCTGTGATGGCATGAACGTGGTACACAAATCCGTTCAGTGTCACTCCGCAGGGAAAACATATTGATCTGTGGAAACCACAAGCTAAATTATCAACAAGTGACAAGGCAACAGAGATCGAGAGCAGTTGTTGCAGGCAATGTTTCCAGTGTTTTAACATTTCAGAGAGGGATCCGGCCAACTGAAATAAACACACAATCAATTCAGCTCACAAGCTCCCCCCTTCATTTCATTACCAGTCTCATGATGCTATTTTCATGTATCATCTACAATCGTAACATAATGTTTGGCATATGAAAATGCCAAGGTGCTTTCCAATGGGAATTTTCACTGAATGGGTTTGAAATTAAAAGCTCTTGTAAAAACTATTGTGTGCTCTGGTATGATGACTTATTTGGTTGCCATGGTGAGAGAAAGCTCGTTATTTTTAATGGCTCTATGCTGAGCAGCGCTGCAGAGCCTTAAGCAATGGCACTGACAAACTGCCAACCTCAGCAAACGCTCTGTGTGGGACATGTTTAAAGGGTGAAAGCGCCATACACGCGCACACACACACACACACACACACACACACACACATACCTGCAAATGCTGGCACACAGAGATCACCTCCAGCTGTCTGTCCTCTTGAGGAGGTGGCCTGTAATAAAACATATTAACCACTTTCAGTCACAGAGCAGATCACTTCAAATTCTGTATTTAACTCAAATTGATTGCATAAGATCTTGTCATTTAGCCAGGAGGACAGAAGGAACAGCTGGGATGGAGACTTGTAACAGAATCAGGGAATAATAAATGTCTCTCAGCTCAACTCTATGACCATCAGTCCTCAGCAGGAGACATGTCCATCCATCACTGCCAATGAAAGAAGGCCAGAAAGCCTTGCGGTCTTCAATTCTACATTTTTTTTGTCACTCTCTTCCTTATCTTACTGTGATTTTGCAAAGTAGGATGTGTTCCTGTATCAGCATCCCAACTAACAAAAATATGTTCTAAGAATGTTTAACTAAAGATAAGTTATGAAAATGTTATTTCTGAATCTTATTTTTCTTTTCTCTTTTTTTTGAACATGTGAACATTAGCGAAAACATTAATGGAATGTATCGAAGACCATGGGAACTTTATTTTTTAATCTTCTCTGAACCATCTGGAAAAAGTAGCACATAGTAATGTTTAAAAAAAACCCACCGTTTCAGAAAATGTTCCATGAATGATGTGTAAATAAATGTGTTTGTGCTAATGTTTTGATAACATTTTTAAAGAACATAACTTTGAACAAACATTCTATTAACATTACTGAAAGAATGTTTGTTCATTACTTTGAGAGAACCTTGGCAGAATATTGGCCAAAGTTCTGAGAACGTTCCCAGTTAGCAATTGTTGATACTGGCACAAAATTCTTTTAAATCAAAAAGAGTATAGCTATAAGAGCTGAAGAAATGCCATAAATGCATCGTAAAAGCAGTCAATATGACTTTTGCACTATAGTATACGTTTTTCTGGAGTTATACGATAGCATTGTGGGAGGAACAGAGGTGATTTGTTCCAGATATATTTTTTGTTATGCTGGTTGAAAGACACTTTCATTACAAACTGCAAACTGTTCAAAGGGCTTTAAACGATTCCAGGCGATGAATAAGGGTCTTATCAAGCGAAACGATTGCTCATTTAATAAATAAATAACAAAGTTTAAGTTTTATAAGCTCAAATGCTCGCCTTGCTCTATTCTGTGACGCACGTTTGTGACTCTCCTGTTCGAACTCTTTTCCCGAGTCAATTTGTTCGTTTCGTTCGTGGAATGAACCAAATGACAATTCAACTGCAACTGCAAGATGCTATCCTATCAGAATGGGCCAACATTTCTAAAGAATGCTTTCAGCACCTTGTTGAATCAATGTCATGTAGAATTAAGGCAGTTCTGAAGGTGAAAGGGGGTCAAGTATGGTGGTATTTGACCGGTGTGGTATTAGTATGGTGTTCCTAATAATACTTTAGGTGAGTATATACCTGCACGTTTCATGATATGCAGAGGTAGACAGTCAGTCACCGAGCACCGCAACCAAAACAGCAGCTGTCTTTTACAGTTCCTCCTGAGCCAAAACAACGAGCTTATGCTGCATTCATTTCGTAACTACTGTCATTTTGAAGCGATGGAAACCAGTGACGTTATATTCAGGGTGGTTTGTGACTCTAATTTATGCATTTTAATGGAAACAGGGGGCATGGCTTGGAGACGCTCTGAAGGGAGGGTGGGATCTTATGCTTTCAAAAGCTAGCTTGCTATTTCTAGCCACTCCAAAAATTTCCTATACCGTACCTTTAAGTCTTTATACCTAGCAATGATATAGGGAAAATAAAGCTGATTCACGCTCACGCTCCTGTCTTATACTGTAGCATAAAATCATGCTCATAAAAGGCCTAATTATGTGCATATGCTGTTTCAGTGAAACCAGCTCTGGATCAGCCTGATGGGCCTTTGGAAGGATCTGACATGATGTCCCTTCAGCTGGAGGAACACAGGACACAAAATTGGGCAGAAAACATACTAAACAAACATAGTCTTAGTTTGCTTTCAAGTATTACAGTTCCAGATTCTTTTTAACTTTAAATCTTAGCTCTGAAAGAAGGGAGGAAAAAAATGAATATGGTTCATTAAACAAGAATTTTCTCAGAAAATAGCATTCTGGATAGTTTTTAACATGTTATTATGTGGATACTGGTTCAAATCAAAAGAGCCCACCCAATTTAGCTTTTAAATCATTCAATGTAAGCCTTATGCAAAGAAAACATAGCCTATAAATCTATATTTAAGTAACAGAATATTTTCCAGTTTTCACCAGGGCAAAAAAAAAATTGGAAGTCTGATCACTTAGAAAAATAACAGCACACCTTTTATCAATCGCTGTGTGATTAAGGTGTCATTGATGTCTATAAAGAAAAAAATGCTAAAGGTGCAGTCATATTTCTTTCCACATCATCCGGAATCCAAGCAAAAGAGTTTTGCATTATAGGCAGAATTATCCCCCACGCAGTTTTCACAAAGGGTTCAAGTTGGTCACGCAAATTCACAGCGTTGAGAAAAAGAAACCTGGTTGGTTTGACTTCTGTGTGAGCTGTGCTTCATACATCACTACAATATGGACATTTCTGACAGCAAAATTTCACAGAAAATTCACCAATATGACCACACCTAAGTTTGCCCAACAGTGAAAGTGATGTTTGTCGTAGCAAGAATTACTAACATTTAAAAAAGTGTTTGAAACAAAGCAAACAGACTCAAACCTACTTCATCATTGAAAGAAATGCAAAGCAGACAGTTACTTGACAAACATCTTACCAGTTATTAAAATGCACCGTTTGAGTTGACTTGCTGACAACTGCAAGATAAGAGCACAATGTTGCATTGGTTATCACTCAAGTGCATCCATATCATATTCTAGGCCACAGAGATTCAAGATTTGGGGACAAAAGAAGACAGAGAGACAGGTAAATGCATATCTGGGCCACACACGAAGAAAGGTTACACTACAGATGTCCCAGCTGATACGATCTGTCCTTTCTGTGACTGGGCCCTCTTACCACTAAAGAGACACTCATCTAGTGCTATTGTTGAACTGCCATCAGTTTTACACTACAATTTTGCTTAGTTGGCTGCGGTCAACGTACCTCCATCGTCCTTTTGTTGTGGCCTTTCCGAGCAGCTAAAGATTACTGTTACCAATATCCTTGGGGATCATCCTAAATATTTTTGTCTCTCCAGGTCAATGCCGTCCTTATGAATATAACCCTTTCAAAAGAGATGGGGCTTTGCGTTAACTAGCGCCATGAACGCTGCACATGACGATTAAAGAGCTAAAGGTGAAGTTTCCGTTTGATGTGGGGAGACAGAGACAATGATACTCATTATCACTGGCGCTGCAAATGTCTCCACCTCTGGATTGGATCAGGTGCTAACAGGTTGACATGAGGGTAATTTCTAGCTCGTCTGGGGTAATTGAAGAGCAGCCATATAGACCAGATTTATAGGCTACATTTTATGGCCAGATGATAACTTTCTCTCGTCTCATGCGCTGTGGAACTGTTAGGCTTGGCTTTTTGCCTTAAATTAAAGGAGGTTTGGAAGAACGGGAATAAAAATACAACTCTAAAGCACTGACATCCAATCCTGGTCTGTGAGGTCTTATGAGGTCAATGCCAAAAATGGTGTCCCATGATAAGAACTCATATGCCAGAACTTTTATTTCAATGCTCTTTACTGAGAACTGACAATGATAAAAATTGGAAGAGCTTTGCAATCTTTTTTCAAAGAGAGAGAGAGACAGAGAGAGAGAGAGAGAGAGAGAGAGAGATGTGACCCAACATTTCAATCCACTAGGAATGTACACTCTAAAAAAACTTTAAAATTTAAACCAAGAGTTGGGTTTGCCCATATTTGACCCAAACATGGGTTTAAACAACCCATAATGTTTTTGATTAAGTAAGTCAATTATCGAACACCAAATAAATGAAAAATAACATTTATGTAAACTTACTGAGATATAGTCATTCTGAAAACTTCACCATGTGTGGGTTTTTTTTCAAGAATGGAGAGGTACAATGACAAAAAAAAAAAAAAATCATTTCAGTCCAGTAATAAAAAGGCTATCTAATTTTAGCGTCTGTGGCGGTCGAATAGTGAAATGAAGCGTTCCATTTCACTTGAATGATTATCTCCATCTCTGTATCTCTCGGTTTGCAGCCATGGCAACTGTCCGAACAGTCAAAAAAAAAATGAATTACCGTCAACAAGTATATTTAGCTAAAGATATAATTGAATCTTAGGCCCACAGCACGACTCTTATCTACTCTGTTATCTACTGGGATGTGAATGGACCTCAAATGCTTATTGAGCTGTTTTACTGGGGGAAATCCTTCAAACTGATGAAGACGCTGAGAGACATGGACAGAGTGCTGTGGTCCTTACACATTACACAGAAAAACACTGTGACAATGCAGTACTTTAAGCACACATGAAATAACATCTGAAGAGATGGGAAGATGACCCAACATTTCTGTTCTGGTTTTACATTTTCTATAGTTTATACACTTACAAAAATGTAACAATTTAATTCTCAATTTAATTTAATTTTAAATTATTATCATTTAATGATTAATTAAAGAAATACTGCAGGGTCATTCAAAGCTGTTATTAATTTATTTATCGGCGATAATGAATGACTGATATCTATTATCTCTTACGTATTTATTTGGTGCTGTGAAATGTACTATTACAGAAAGGCAAAAAGTGTTGTTTGTGTGATTAAATAAACCTGGGTTTTTGTCTTTTTATCATGTTATATTGCGTCCATCTTTGACATGCAGCACAGCCCAATAACACACAAACAACAGTGTGACCATTATCTGCATTAAGCTAGTGCAGCAGGCATTAGTTCAATACAAAGCCTTACGCCCTATATCTGGCCTGGATCAATGCATTGACTCTTTATGCACTGACAAAAGCAGAGAGGCTGAGAGCGGATCAAACGGCCCACATTCCCACGCCGTCACTCGGGCATCCTGCAGGACAGCACGGGGTCCTGTCGCACGTGCATCTGCTCACACGCCCAGCCGACACAATCAGCCTGTGATCTCATGACCACG